ATAAGATAAACAAACAAAACAATATCAGCTCTGAATATATATATATATTATTAAAAATATCAGTCCTAAAAACATATATTGCTTAATTTAATAACAAAAAAATTCAATTTGATTCAAAAGAACACAAATCTAGAAAAAAAAAAACTTAAATAAAGACAAATGCACCCCCCCAAAAAAGTTTAATCTATGAGAGCAGCAATGTGCATAGAATGTTGACATTTCCATTTCCCAATCCTAAGCAAGAACAGTGCAACAGTGGAAAGGAAAAGTAAAAGACAATGTAAAATTTGTAAAGTATGCACATATAATTGTTCTTTAAAAACCTAAAACAAAATGAGAGTCATTCCTAAGAGACGCTACCTGCAGCGTGTTACAGGTGAAGTCAGACTGCTCGTCACCCCAGACACTCTCCGCAGCTACAACCAGCACCATGACTCGGAAAATAAAGAGCACTGAGAGCCAGATTTTCCCCAAGGAAGTGGAGTGACGGTTTGCACCAACCAGCTGAGCGTACAGAGCCGGCCAAGACATCCTGTACAAAGGAAGAAAAATTCAGCTTAAAAAACAACTCTGCGTTCCACAAAACTGCAGGTTAAACAGAAAAAGGTTTGGTAGTTTGTCAAAAATTTGACTCCAGATTTATTGATGCTGTTGATCAGGATAGTGGACGTGTCCAAGGAGCTCTGTGGGAAAAGATGAAAGCAGGGAAATCCACAGAAACAAAAGCCATCTCTGACAGAGGAAGGGGATGAAAAGGAATGAAAGTGAGAGGAGGAAGGGAGAAGGCCTGCTGCCAGCATTCATGTGAACATCTGATGAACCTCGCAGCCCACTGAAACTGAGACTGTACACCATGTCTATCATTCAAACTAACTTTCCAAAAGTACAGATTTTCTTCAATAGAAAAATATTAAACAGAAAGGAGGAGTTTTTTAGTTTTTTAATTTATTTTCTACAATACTAAACTTCCATAAACATGACTAATTTTCCCACCTTTTTCATAGTGTGTCAGGTTACTGGTTCCAAAGTTGTCCCAATTTAGCTTTTCCTGCAAGATGATTTAAAACCAAAAAAATCAAAAGAATTTACAGGTGACACAATTTATCTGAAGTGAATCAGAATGTGTTCTGCAGAGCCACACAGACCTGAAGCTCCTAAGTCCTCTGCCTGCAACAATGAGGACTTCAGCTGGACGGCTTCCTGAGGTTTCAAAATAAAATTCATCTGGGTTATGTCTCCATCAGCAGCTGTAATTTTGAACAGAGGCAGAGCTGTGAGAGGTGATGCTGGAGTTGCTTACATGCCAAGGAGATAACGTTGCCTTTGGTTTCATGTTTGTGTTGGAGCAGGGATGGATGCAGAAGCTCCAGGACGCCGCCGCTGCCTACCGCTGATCTAGATCCTTCCATTGTATTCCTGTCTGGATGTTTAGGGTCATTATTCTGCTGGAAGGTGAAATTCTGCTGCAGTTTCAAGTGCTTTTTAAACCTCTAGTTTTTCATCCCACACCATGATACTGCCATGAACGTGTTAGGGCAGTCCTAGCATTGTGTGTCCGAGGTATTTTAATCTAAATAGCATTCTACATGCAAGTTGAATAATTAAAGTGAATTACCCCTTGTCCTCCCACGTGTTTACAAACTATAAATGTGTCATTTAAACCGTCCATCCATTTTCCCACTTAGTCCTTGTCAGGGTCGCGGTGGGGCCAGTCTATGGGTGAGAGGCGGGGTACAGGGTGCCACAGAGACACACAACAATTCACACACAACTTAAAGAAGCAAATTAACCAAACAGCCATGTTTTTGAACTGTGGGAGGAAGCCAGAGAGAACCCATGCATGCACAGGGTAAACATGCAAACTTCTTGCAGAAAGATCCCAGGAATCAAACCCAGAACCTTCCTGCTGCAAGGCAGCAGTTCTGCCCACTGCCCCACCATGCAGCCCATCATTTAATCTATGTACTTTCATTACTATTCTGCCTTCAAGGACTGATTTTAAGGAGCCTAAATCACAGCTTTTAGGCAAACAGACTCTTCCGCCTGAGCTGTGGATCTCAGCAGCTCCCCCAGAGTTACCAACACTCCCTGATTTTATATAGTTATTTTATTTTAGATTTTACTGATTGATCTATTTAGAAAGCGACTGTACATATTAATGGACAAACTAATTTCCATCTGAGGTCCCTGGATAATTTAAAATGAAATTAAGGAATTAATTTATTAATGCACTCCTGGTCAGGCCTGTAAGTTTAAATACTTTGACTATTTTCTGGTAAATTCACTCCTGGATATAATTGCTCTTCTTTTCTATTTAAGGTGGACAATTAAGATCCATCTTAAGAAGTAGAAAAAAAGAGCTTTCCTTGGCGGTTAATAAAGTGAAGAAAAACTAATTCAGTAGCTTCTAGAACAGCTGTTAGCATCAATAGCTTAGAATAAGTGTTACCTGTGTGCCATTATCAGTCTGTTACATGATTGTGGTAACATTTATGAAATATGTTATCATGTTTTTGAATGATAAACTGAATTGTCTGAAAATGACTTTACGACGACATTGATTTGCAGTAAGAGCTTCTAAAGAAAGACTATTGCTGTTGTCTTTTCTTCCTGGCCTTAAGTCGACACACATCTTTATGTTACAAAACAGAGAACTGATTATTTTTGTGTTTAGACAGTCAGAAGTATAAAGATTTAATGTTTCTACATCTTTTTAACATTTTGTGTTTTTGACAGTGTGTTAAACCAGATTGTTTTATTTATCACATTATTCAGCGATAAACTAGTTGCATTCTAATGAGCCCAAGCTGCAGTTTGGAGGGTTGAAAGAACAGTATTGCATTGTGGTGTGAAGGTGTGTAGGACGGCGTGTCTGTGTGTGATTGTTGCGACTGTAACTGGACACAGCTAGAGGCTCCGAAGGACTCCTCAGATCTGAATTACGTCTTGGCAGTGGCCAGCGGACGGGACAGTGCTGCTCTCTGTGCTGCTGATGACTGGGACAGATGAGCTTTTCCCACAGTTTGTTGAAGTGTGGGAGCAAAAGCCACTTCCTCCGTTCGCACTACAGATTCTTTCAAAAGATTTCAACGGAAAGAAAATGTGATGCCCTCGAACAAAATGAAATGCAGCCGACTGCTTTCAGAGATCACCTAACTTTTTAGAGCCTAACTTTGACTAGGCCATTCCAGTGCAGCTCTTGCTGTAAGTTAGGACATGATCGCTGATGAAGGTTCTCAGTCATCCAGGTCAAAGTCATTCCGTAAAAATTAAAAAAATATCCACTGGACTTGGTTTTCAAGATTTGAAGACGTTTCGCCACCTCTCCAGGAAGCTTTCTCAATTCAAATGTCTGGATCCGCAGTGAGTTTGAGTCTTATATAGACAATGTTAGGACATGATCCTACTGGAAGATTAACCTTTACCCCATCCTCTGGTCATCCATCTTCCTGTTGACCCGTCAACATGATAGTTTAGGGTTGTTTTTTTTATGTAGGTCAAAAAACTAAATATATTGTAGGTTTGTGGTTTTAACCTGACACAATATCCCTGTCTTAGTGAATGGTATCAGTGTCAGTGTCAGACTAAAAGGGCTTCTGTCTGATGATTCAATCAGAGCAGCAAAGAAAAGCCTGATGGATCGTTTCAGCATGGTCTTTGAGTAGTAATGTGGGAATTAGGGGGAAAGAGGGTGCAGATTGTTAGAGTAGTTCCTGGTCTCTGATCAGCCAGCCAGCGAGAGAACAAAGGGAAGCACTGTCAGGAAGCACACACTTTACTATGGAGTACTGTACAGATGTACACACATCTTTACCAGAATCCTAAACACACGCCTCCTCAGACAGTTTAGTGAGCGAGGGAGGAGTGCAGCATGTGACCAAACAGCAGGTTTCTGCTCTGTGGGTCTTTGCTGTGTGAGAACCTGCAAAATACAGGTAATAGAAAAAACAGTAAAACTGAAACATTAAGAGTTTAAACATTCTGGGTAAGAGAAAAGATTTGCAGAAGCACCAAGAGGTTTTCTGTTGCAGATAAACGTAGGAATCAGGAATAAATGATGGTGAAAAGTCTGATTACTGATCATTATGAGCAAAATCTAAAGGTCATTTAGAAATATTGGGACACATCCTTAATTTACATCTACAACATCTTCTAAAAGTGTTTGTGCTTCTTGAACTTTTCTACAGTTTGTCACAGATTACATACGATGCAACAAGTTCTAAAAAAAAAAAATTGAACATGACTTAAAGTTGTTGCTACAAATAAAAGTGGGAAAAGTGTGGGGTGCACTTTGTTCCCTCTTCCTGACTCAGTTATTCACCTCCAATCACTTCAATCACACCACATCTCTGGGAAAAATGTCTGCTAGCTTTGCTCATCTGAAGACTGGATTTAATTCTTAGAAACAAAACATTGAACTCAAGCTCAGTTTCATTGGGCTAAAAGAACCTGCAAGAAGCATTTTTTATATCTTGACATGTGGGTATTTCACAGACCATTATTAATATAATTATGATTTAAATCCTGTTAGCTATCACTTCCAAACAGCTTGCTACAGATGGAAAATTGAACTTTTAGGGAACTTCAAGGAGACTATAGACCTACTAAAGCTAAACTTCTGTCTCATTTTAGCCTCTTACATATTTTCCATTTCCTATCAACTCTTAAATCCTTATCTGCCCTGCAGTAAAACCTTTTCCCTCAGCATGACGTTGCCACTCCCATGTTTTGCAGATGTTCAACAATGTGCAATGGTAATTTCCCTCCATGTTTAACGTGGCTTTCACATAGTTACTGAATTTTTTTTTTTGACACTTTCCAAAAACAATGACTTTGAGAATATAACAGGAAGTTTTCAAAGTTTATGACATTCTTTTACAGTAAACTGCTAAAATGGCATTCTTCTTGATTTTTCTATGGAATTATTCTGTATAAATCTTTTGATAATGAATCTGAGCAAACCTTCACAGTATATGTTGTTTTTTATTTAATTTACTTCTAACATAGATGAGAAATTAGATGCCTTCTGTAGGTTTTTAGCTGCCTGGGTTTTTTGTCTATAAAATTGTAACCAGCAGGGGGCAGTGATGAGTCATCATCTCCCAAAGTCCGTAGAAGAAGAACCTCATTCACCGCTTTGCTCTGGAAAGAACACGGACCCAGACCTCGTTGTGTGATCACAAAAACATTAATACCAATGGCGCTGGAATCACGGATTACACAAGAAGAAATAAAGAAGGAGCCAGAGAAACCCATCGACCGGGAAAAGGTAAACATCTGGGTTTAACTCCGTAATTCCCTGTAGCTTGTTTACCTTCTCCAATCGGAGCTAACCAGGTTAGCATATGCTGCTACTAGCATCTGCTACTATGAGAGCAAACAGTTATTTGTTACATCAAGTATTTGCAACATATCAGATATTTTTGATTAAAATATTCGCGGGACTAATGCTGCATAACTCAGCGGCTCTGGGAAACAATAAAAGAATAATAACGACGTGCGTCTGTGGCGTTTTAGCTTTGCTAGCTAAGCGCTATTCGGCATGTTCTGTAGAAACACGTTAAGATTGGTTTTATGCACACACAAAAAAATGTCGACTTGTTGTCACATATCGCGATAACGAAGTATTGTTGCGGGTTTCTCTCGCGATTGTAGATCTGTAACGTTTTTTATTATAACGATAATTAAGAGGGGTTTAGTATGCTTGATGATGAAGTTAGCTTCTGAATTAGCTCTGCTGTAAATCGACATTAGCTTTAATCGAAAGAATACGTACCTTTTTTTACGGTGGCCCTGAAGGGTCACCTTAATTCAAAAGTAATTTTGTATTAAGGTGAAAACACAAGAGTACCACAATATACTGATGTTTATAGACAGATGCCTGCCTTTAGTGCATTATTTATGAAGGCCTCAAACACATTTAATGTATAAAAATGAGGAATAACAGCCGATACTAATGAAACATCAATATATCCTGCATCTATTCTCTATCATGGAAACAACTTCATTTCCATCCACGCCTGGCTTCCCTTTAAGCTGCATCAGTGATTATCCTCCTCCACAAGCAGCAAAATCAAATTTTAGAAATTTGTCCCATATGTCATTGACAGCCAGAGTCCATATATTGAACCTTATATTTCAAAAATCATTAATGCACTGGTTTTTATTATTTGTGCTTTAATTTTTGCTGGTTTCTTAAATTTTTATTTGAAGTCTGGGTCCTGTAAGTACTTGGGGATATATTTTATTGCATGTTGCATATCCCACCTTTAAATCTGCAGCTCTCCCTAATTGTGTCTCTGCTCTGCTTAAAAACACATTTATGATCCTGTCTACCAGTAGAAATTAATTTTGAAGATCTTTAGAATCTCTGTTCAATCAGAAAACAACAGATATGTGTTCATTTTAATCTGGAACTCTCAGTAATGGTCCTCTTAGAAGCCCAGCTTTTTTAACTTATAGAAATGTACAATCTGCTGCCATTTTTAGCTAAAAAAGCTCCGTATGTGTAACAAACAGATTTTTCTGTGGCATCTCTAATTTTTTTAACCAGCCAGTCTCATAAAAGTTACTGAAACATATATGGAAGTAGCTGCCGGTTAAAATTCACTGGGTGCTGCTGTGTCTCTCCTCCTCCCCGTAACGACTCTCTACGCAGTGAATATCGACCCCAAATAATATAACGCCCCAAAGCGACAGATCCCATCATATTTCCCCGAGAGGTGGGACTCGGGAGAGCGAGGAAAAAACACGAACTGAAATCGATCTGAACGCAGTTAGCTGCACCAAACCCCAGTTACTGTTCTCTAAAGAAAATCAGTGGAAAGGGGGAAACAAGTGGAAATTATTGGTGGCCCTGTGGTGTTGAGGTTTACGTTGTGACCTGTGTATTAAGGTGACCCTTTGAGGCCACCGTACCTTTGTCCTTATTTCAACATCTAAACATGATGGTTTAGAACTTTGCTGTGTTGCTCTGCATAGGTCACATAATCTTTCTTACATTGTGAAGTGTGAAGCCTTAAGGATAATTATGTAAACATGACGCAATGTTTTCTACCTCTTTTAGGGTCACTTTAAACATTTAAAAGGCCAAAAAATATAAAAATTTCCCAATCTTACCCTTTTTTTTTAATAGATTCTGCTGCCGAGTAATGAACGTATTCTATATTAAACTTAATGTAAAACCTCTAAACATGTGGTATAGTCTTGATGTCGGGCTCTTAATTCAAACATTCTCAGTTCAATTCCTCAAATTTATCTATGAGTAGCTCCATCCAATTTCTCTCTCCCTGTTGAATTACACCACACCATGATGCTGCCACCTCCATGTATTATCATGGGCATGGTGTGCGCCTTGCTGATGGACTATTTCGGGGGTGTTAATTGACAGCTCTGTAAATAGGTGTGAAAGTCAAGCCTCCAGCGGGTCTTATTCTAGGTTTGTTCCGTGTTTAATTACATACATTTTCTGATCAACTCATGTTCTGTTCTCTGACCCTGCTGTAGCTTCCCAGCAGCTGGATGCTTCATCCACTGTGGTGATAGTGTGCCTGTTTGTACATTTTTTTTATGATGTCCCTTTTAATGGTTTTATATGTTCTATTAAATTATAGTCAATCTATACTTAATCTGTATTAACTGACTGATTAATTTTATTTTTAAAGATGGGCTCGATGCAAATGGCAAATAAATTGCTATCAATCAGCTTTTCTGAAAGTTATCGGTAAATTATGACGGCAGTTATCTGTTAACATGTGTCTCTAGCATAACTTACAAATGCACATGTTTGTTTTTTGTTTCTTTTAACTCAAACATGTAAGAACAATTGTGAGTAGTTGGAAGCTATGTCCACCTACCTGGCTAAAATAGGTGTGTTGTAGTAACATGATTTTGCCACTAGAGGACAGTCATGGTCGATGGATTTTCACATGCTCTGAAACAGGGGGTATTCAACTAGATACTTCACGATTTAACGGCAGGGCTGTCTTCTGTCTCATCCACATATTTTATCTTAGAGAGCAAAAAAATGATTGGTCTAAGGTGATTGCAATAGGTCATGAAGAGCTGCAGCGGGGCTGCCAAAGCTGTCCCTAATTTGACCTAAACTACAATAAATGTATGTTACATAAAATGTTGAGTGGTCCGGGTGAAAGCTTGTCAGAATCCAGCCCGGGTGTCCACCAGACCACCAAAATAACCCAAATACCGATTGCACGAGTGTTCTCTATTATAAGGCTTGATTTACTGACTTGTATTTTTAAACTAATTTATTTGCATAGCCTTTTATTTTATTATATTTTTTTTTTTACTTTATCCACAGAGTTGATGTTAAAAGTACTCATACTGGGCTGTCTTGTTTTCTGCAGACTTGTCCACTCCTGCTGCGAGTGTTCACTACCAACAGCGGGCGACACCACAGAGGAGATGAATTTGCTCGGGGCAACGTGCCCTCTAGTGAACTCCAAATATACACCTGGTAGGGATATAAACAATTTTTTGTGTGGTTAAGGCGTCACCGAAGTAGAAGTGTACCTGATGACCTCAAACGTGTTGCAGGATGGATGCTACGTTGAAGGAGTTAACTAGTCTAGTAAAGGAAGTGTATCCAGAAGCCAGGAAAAAGGGAACCCACTTCAGTTTTGCTATAGTCTACCCTGATCCCAGAGTAAAGATGTACAAGTAAGTCCATTTTTCTACAGCTGTGAGCGGATAAGTGGTTAATGTGATAACTATGAAAATAACTGTAAACTGGTTTCTTAAAGGTTGAAAGAAATCGGCAGTACTTTGTCCGGAAGGAAGGGCCCAGATGATGTCCTGACTCTGCAATCTCAGCGTTTCCAGATCGGAGACTACCTGGACATAGCCATCACACCACCAAACAGAGCGCCACCCCTTGGCCCCCGCATGAGGCCCTTCTGAATGCAAATCTGTGTTCTGATAAAGTGATGGATCTGTATTTCATGTTCTCTTTTTATCTTGATTTGTTTTCCTTCATTTTATGAAACCTTATGTTTAATAAAACTGTTTTTTTTTTTCCAAATAAAGTCTCTATTTACTGACTTTTGTTTTTTTGTAAAATAGCCTCTGAGATAAAAAAAACTAGATTTATGTTGATAAAAATACCTTATTCATTATTTCACTACTAGTCATGTTTGATAAATAAGTTTTTACATTTTCACATATTTAAAAGTCTACCCTGAACTTTAAGTTATAACAACGGCTTTAGATATGATACATCTTCAATGGAGTATTGGGGTTGTTCTCATTAAACAAATAGTGAAAATTATTTATTTTTATTTTTTTTACCTTTTTGTAGGTAACTATATTTATTATCTGGGATTGAAAAAAAAAAAAAAAACAATCCCTTTTCCAAGATAAATTATAAAATAATTAAAGAAGATTAACGCTGTTGCTCACACTTTCAGCCAGTAAAAGTAATTCTGAAAGTTAATCAGAATTGTTAAGATATTGTATTGGTCGAACTTCAAACCACATTAATGTAAAACAAAAAGTCCTCACAAATATAGTAGAAATGAGGGAAATTAAACGTTAAAAAAATAAAGCTTACGGAAGTCAAAGTTTTGAGAGGCTGTTAATTAAAAGATTTTAAGTCAATCATATTTTAAACAAAATTCGGGAGAAATTATTTTTAACCTCAGGAAAACAAAATAACCAGCATTAGTTTGCATTAATTGGCAGTGAAGCTTTTACTTTGAAAGGGTAACTTGAAACCAGCTGGGTCCGAAGTGCGCATGCGCATTGTCAAACACGGTGCTAGCAGTACAGTGTTTCAAGCGTCTGATAGGAAAAGCGGAGGTTTTAGCACCAAGTTTTTATAGTGAAATGTTTCGCAGAAAACTTACTGCCCTTGACTATCACGACCCCAACGGATTTGACTGCTCAGGTGAGGAAAAATAGAATAAACTAACCGGTTTCGTTCAGCTTTCCTCGTAGCTAGCTAACTGGTAGACGTATTCTCAGCACGTTCACTATAATATATAGGAGACCGTGAAGTGCCAGACTAAAAATAGCAATATATTGGGGGTATTTTAAGCTTTTATTTCAGTTAACTGGAACTTAAAGTATATTTACCGATAGAATCTGTATATTAGGTCAGTAAAGTTTGCTGTTTTTATTAAAATAAATAAAGTTAATCTAAATTCACCAGCCAGATGTGTTTAGGTTAATTTCTTGCTGAATAATAACCTGCTCAGATCGAGCTAACTGCTTGTCATACCTGCTCAGATGAAACCCAGTTCAGGAACTGTTTGGTGTGGCTGGAGGACCAGAAGATCCGACATTATAAGATTGAGGACAGAGGTAACCTAAGGAACATCCCCAGCTCAGATTGGCCCAAAGCCTACGAGAAGGTGAGGAAGCTGCTGTTTGATGGACTTTCTGGACACCATGATCTGTGTTTGAGCTTTCTGCTTTGTGTTTTTGTAGTACCTGAAGGATCTGAACTGTCCCTTTGGAGTTCAAGAGAAGAAAGAAGCTCTGGACTGGCTGCTGGGCCTGGCTGTACGCTATGAATATGGAGACAATGGTAAGTCATTCAGATGGTAATGCATACTGATTTGTATGGAGGAGAACTAGGGCCACTGGGAGAAAAAAAAAAAAGTGAACTGATTTTTACATTTTCAGTTTAATATGGGGAAAAAGTCAGAATTCTGACATTTTTCTCAGATTAAACTGAAATAAAATTTTAAAATCAGTTAACTTTTATAATTTTTTCAGTGGCCCTAATCCTCTTCCGTAGATTTGGATAATTTTCCCTTTGATTTTATTTTCAGCAAAGACTTTCTTTTGGGATATTTTGTTATCAATAACCATTTTTTTTAAAGTGAAATACTTTGAAAGCTCAACATGTATTCTGTTAAGACCAACACAGAGGAGATTTCTGTTAAAATGTTTTAAGGGTGCAAATCTCAGGGAACCTCACCCACTGCATGATGAGCTTTCCTTTACTGAACGTAAACCCAAATCCCTCTCCAATTGTGTCAACAGCTAAAGTAATAATACAATAAAAGAAAAAAATCACAATCCTTTGTATTTTGTGCATAACTTTATTTTAAACAGATGTAAACAATTTTAATTTTGAATCCTCTGCACATATTTCTGTTGTCTCTGTTCTGTGTTGCATTGTCTGTTATGGGCAATTAATTGCGAACAGTACTTAAACTTTACTTTTATTGGACTTAATTGGGGTGACCACCTTCCCCCATAAAAGTAATTTTTGAATTGAAAATGTTAAGTTTTGAATGCACAATAAATGGTTTTCTACATTTAGTGCCCTTTAGTGTTAATAAAAATAATGCCCACTAGGTGGAGTGGTAGTATAGCGAATGGTAGGTTAAATTAGAGCTTTATTTTCTTTTGTGCAGTTGATAAATATAAGAACTGCCCGCCTCTGGCCACGTCCGGTAACAGCGATAAGGTCGCCGTGGATCCTCTAGTGAACCTTGACAGTAAGTAAAGCCTTCCTCCTGTAGATTTTTTCCTCCATTGCTCCATTTTAATCCATTTTCTTTATTCTTTCAGGTAATTCTCCAGATTTTAAAGCGGGAGTTACAGCCTTGGCCAATATCCTTAAGATACAACGGCATGACGATTACCTGGTCATGCTCAAGGTGGGTGTGTGTTATGTTATCTGCATAACCTCTGGAGTACTTCCTTAATAGTGGGTGCGTTCCAACCATATACTTTAATATGCTTCATTAGGATGAAATGAGCTGGAGTTGAAGCAGAATGTTTGGTGTTCCTGTGTATTAAACTGCTTTACTCTAAAACACCTTCATGAAATCCATCAGAACTGCAGGGCTCTCTAATCGGTGTCAATCTTGCTGCCGTTTACAGGCCATTCGGATTCTAATCCAGGAGAGACTTTCACCAGAGGCCATAGCTAAAGCCAGCCAGAACAAAGAGGTGAGAAGAAGACACATTAAATTAAATCCCAGAGTCATATTTGAATTCTGCTTAAAAATGTCCCGCATCTCTCTGCAGGGTGTTCCGGTTACTTTAGACAAACACATTCTCGGTTTCGACACTGGCGGTGAGGGAGGATAAATGACATGGTTTTGTTTTAAACATGCATCCTGAAGAGGTCGCCCAGCTTGGTAACAAAGTTCCTCCTCTCTCCTCGCAGACGCCACCCTGAACGAAGCAGCTCAGATCTTACGCCTGCTGCACATTGAGGAGCTGCGGGAGCTCCAGACTAAGATCAACGAGGCCATCGTCGCCGTTCAGGCCATCATAGCCGACCCCAAGACGGACCACCGGCTGGGCAAGGTCGGCAGATGAGAGAGGGCGATGGAAGAGAGTCGCTGGAGGGAGCTGAGGACCGAGCAGCAGGAGTTTTCAAGTTGATTCTCAGAGAAAAGGGCCTTATTCTTTCTTCTAGTTTTTTTTTTCTTTTTTTTTTTTTTACAGCTGTTGCATGATGTGGGCCAGTTTGGTTGAACTTGAAGCAATGGCCCAAGCCTCAGATGCAAATACAAACCTTCTTTTTGAAGGTAGGAGAGGCCTGTAGAAAAACTACATGTAGTTGTGTTAAAAAAAAAAGTAATTTCCTCAAAGACTGAGGAACTTTTGAAGGCTGTTCTGAGCTATTTAATTTTTATTTTGTTCCTGTCGATGAAATAAAGGTTAATTTTGAAATGAATCATACCACAGATCACACTTTGACTGGAAGGCAATCATAGAAAAAAAAAAAACCCGGTATCAAATCACATTTTATTGATATAAATATCACATCTCGTTAACAAGAAAAGGTTTAAAATGTGAAAATATTCAGCAAATTAACAGGACTGTAGCTGCTGCAATCCGACCGGTTTCATCCCAGACAAAACAGATTTGCTTTTGGCAGTGAGTTAAAAAAAAAAACATTCTTATTTGCACCATTTTATGTTACAACTTCTTGGACAGAAAGAGAAAAAAATCTGTTTCTTACAGCTAACGCAAGGAAATATGTCCTGATGAAACCAACGCTTCTTGCAGTTTAACACCTACTGGCTCTAAATCCATATTAATACTGCTGAGTTCAATTTAAGATTAATAAGATCACACAAATGTCTGTGAAATGAAAACTGAGTGAAACTCGCTCCCACTGGACAGTATAAAAGCATCAGCTTCAGCTTATTTCCTGTCTTTAAGCTAAAGGTGGACTTATTGACCTAAAGAGTTGATGCATATGACTTATTTTAAATGATTCCTCAGGCCATGTACAGTGCTTGAATGCTACGAGTGGGCCTCCCATCTTTAAATACCCCCGTTGGCCAGGTCATGTGACCTGGAAGAACATCATATAGTCATGGAGTCATGGCTTTTGCTCTATTTTTTTGACTACTGGTCATGGCTGAGGCAATGAAAAAGTTTAAACCTTCTGAGGAGGATAAAAAGAGAAAACATGAAGGGATGTGCCTGCGGAAAAAGGAATCGATTTTTGAAATGAGTTTGTTCGTTGGCGCAGGCTGGATGTAAAACCGATTCTCTTTCATCAGCTTTATTATTAGACTGGTAAGTTAACACTTTGCTCCTAGTATACAGTCATATGTCTTTGTTGTTATTTTCAATGTTTAGTAGAAGCAAAATACAGGCAGTTACAGGTCCAGCGCCCCTAGTGGCCAAAAGTTAAACAGTGTGTCTTTAAATCGGTGGCCTTTCCAAATAACGGCGAGAGATGGTCGTTTTGAGGCGGCGCTTTATCTGAATCCTACTTTTAAAAATCCTGGATTGTCCCTTTAAGTGGTAGGAACACCACACACATGGTGGAGCTTCTAAATTGTTTTACAGCTGTGATAAAAAACAAATTAACAATTAAAAAAAAAGTAGAAAAAAATGAGGTATAAAACAAATTTACAAAACATTTACTTTGGGTTATATTTTGTGGGTGAGGATGGGGGTAGGGGGGGTCTGCCTCCTGATCTGCTCCCATGTTAAGGCAGTCTGTGATGGGCTCCCATGACTAAAGCACCAAATGACTGTGCGGCTCCTGATCCGTTGTTAGTGGCTACCTGAAAAAACAAACAAAGAACACCTTTTTTTATTTCTGTGACAGTCAGAGGAGGAGATTTGCCTTCCTGTGTGAATCCAGCTGTTTTTAATGACAGAACAAACACATAAAGCCCTGAGAGTTTTCTCTGTGTTCACGTCTTCAACTGTGACGACTTTTAAAGCCTCTTCCATCCGCCTCCCAAACCCCTAACAAGTGTGCCTCAGAGCTGTCATCGGCCGTCTTTGAAGGGAGGCCCCGACTACAGAGACGAGCACCCCCGATCATTGCGTCGAGATTCTCTGGCCGGGACATCTGCCAGGGCGCCGCTTTGAGGATTATCCTGTACTTAAAGGGGCCACGTCGCACTTTGAAGGTGTTTTAAAAACACAGCTTTGAAAGGAGCCGTGGACATCAGAGACCCAAAGTACAGGCAGAGGGGTCGTCAGCCGCTGTGTAATCATCAGTCTGTGGCTCGTGCACGGTGAGTCAGGAGGGTGGCCTCACATGCTTGATGGGTGTTGTCATCTTTACAAATGGTGCCCACCATCGCACTTTTCCCACAAGACCTTAATGGATGGTTATCACAGCTGGGAAAGGATGCGATGACATTCCAGACAAACTGCTGAAACCAAGGTAACGTTCAGTTTTCAGGATCGCAAACTTCTCATAAAACCCAGCAGAAATGGTAATCAGCAATGTTCCAAAATGCTAATATAATTTAGGAAGTTTTTCAACATTCTAATGTGTCTTACTGGGATATATTACATGATAAACATACAAAAAAAGACTACCGTATTGTCAGGAGTATAAGCTGCTACTTTTCCTCCACGCTTTGAACCATGCAGCTTATTGGAAGGTGTGGATTTTCTCTAGATTTTTCCTAATCACCAGAGGAGGAAGTCGAAGTATGAAATGATAGAATAAGGGGCTAGTTTTTATTTAGCCCATGAACATGCTAGTTGCAGGTACGACAGAGAACAAATGTCCCGAATTAAAAGATTTTGAGATGTATTTGCCACATTAAACCTGAAACAAGGAACAGACTGGGCTCAACTCCTGCAGAGCTGAAGCAAAGAGCTCTAGTCACAACCGTGTCCTGAAAGCGCGATCCGTTCTGCGCATGCGCGAATAGATATACATCCGGGTGTCCACAAATAATTTATTATGGTACTAAAACTATTTATTTCTATCCTTAACTCACTAAAGAATGCAAATACACATCTGTAAAAAAATGTTTATGTTGTCATTTATGTTATGTTTATGCTTTTTAAATTTTCTTCGTTAAACTGCTTCTCTGACATCATCAGAAATGCAGTCTGGCAAAATATGATTAAACCAAGTTTATCTGCATTTTAGTTGTATCTTTCTTTAGATTACGCACTGTATAGCACAAGGTTAAAACGAAACGAAAACATAAAACTCAAAAAGACTAGATTTATGTTGAAATCCAAAGCTGAAAAGGTTAGCGCTGGAAGTAGCTTAGGATCCCATTTCCAGTGGAGGTCGGGAAGAGACGACTGATAGTTGTGCTAAAGCAGGGAAACCTCTAAAACCTGCAGGACAGCTGGCCTCGAGGACTGAGATTGGGGATGCCTGGTGTAGTGTACCGGGGGTAACGAGGGGCAATCAGCCTCTCCCAAACACCTCCTGATCAGGAATTGTGTGGTCGATAGAAAATCAAACATGTTTGATTTTCTATCGACCATCGTGAGCAAATCGCTCAGTGGGCAAACAGGGACTCTTCTTCTTCTTCCTTTCAGATGAAAACAGAGAAGCATGGCTGGGGTGCGAGTGAAAGGGAGTTCTTTCTGTAAAATTGAGACTAGTAGCCACGTTTGCCCAGCCATATCTTTGACCAAATACGTCGCCGCCTTTTCTTTTTAGGGCTTTCAGCACAAAATTGCTTAATTGCAAGGCAGCGCGTTTCACTCTAGTGAGCTTCATATTCCTCTTCTACTGGTTTGGCTTCCGGAGTCATCTCACTCCGAGGATGAGTCTGATGTGGTTTTTAGACGTGCAGTGTGAGCGGGTAGACTGGATAAGGGGCGCACATGCATCATGAGCTGTAGCTGCATGCAACGACTGAAAAAAATTGTACCGTGTAAGCCCGGCTTTAGATAGACACAAGATAATAATGGATAGTAAAAGCCTGCTGATACTATATTTAGATCAAAGCATATTTAGGTTAGAATGGCCTACTCAAAGTCCAGAACTACATCTAATTAGGAATCCCTGGAAAGACTTGGTTTTTGATACTTAAAGATGCTTCTTATCCCAAAGGAAGGAACTATGATTGCAATCAAAGGTGGTTCCACACACTGTTGACTCTTGAACACAAAAGTCTGCCACACTTTTCAGATTGTATTTGTAAAAATAAAGCTTTTTTTGGCCCATAATATAAATGCTGCAAAAATAGCACTAATAAGCAAATGGTTGAACATCGAGGAAACAGATCAAATGGTCAACTTTACGATCAGACACATTTTTTTCTGTTTTTTTTGGGAAACTCAATCTATCTGTAAATATGATGTCACCTTTATCTTACCTGGTAGACAATGGCTGGTTGCTATGGTGATACCGTACAGGTGAGAGCGCTGCTCTGGCAGGTATTCATCAGTGAACTTGCTGCTGTCTTTGCTCACAGCGATCACTCCATCCCTGTGGAGAGTCACGGCGATTACTAATCAGAAAGGAACGAATGGCAGCAGGTGGAGAATTAAAGATGGCTACCTCCTCCAGTCGCTGTAGTAGAAGTGGTTGCTGTAGTAGACCATGCTGAAGGGGTAGTTGAGCCCAGAGCTGATCACTCTTCGTCCAGAGCCATTTGGAGAGATGCACTCTAACCGCTTTGTACCTGAAGACAGGATGATTGATGCTGAATCAACTCTGCCTTTATCTACAAAGCGGACTTTGGGGAACCTGGATGTTTGATGTTTACCGGCATCCGCCCAGCAGATCTGTCCAGAGGAGGAGTCGTACGTCAGAGCGTTTGGCAAACCGACCCCGTCAGACACCACCACTCTGCGGCCCTGACCGTCCACGGTGGAGGTCTCGATCTTAGGAGCCTCCCTGTTCCAGTCAGTCCAATATAGACTCCTACAGGGTGGCATGATACAGAACTTTATATGCAGAACGAAATAAATAAAGCTTTCTAAAAACATTTGAAAAATAATTAAATCCCAGTAGACTGTGGCTGAGTGATTAACCACCTCTGATCAGCTCAGAGCCAGGTGGGGATCTTACATATGAGTGCTAATGGAAAACTTGGCTCTCATCCAGAACCCACTCAAACCAAATATGTCAAGGCGATGATGTGAAACACATTTCAAGTTTGATGAGTCATGCTAATACACGACGCTGCATAAGAGCTCATTATTACAATAATTCAGAGGATGGAAAGCAGATGGGATTCCTCCAAGCCTACCAATCAAGAAGCCTGACTAATTTAAAGCAATGGAGGAGCCAAGCAGGAACTTTGTAAAGCATTCTCCAACTCATAAATATCCTTCAGACTCTTATCAAAGAGTCCCTGTTTAGGTTAGATGGCTGGAAACCAGACTCAACAAAACCAATGATGCAAATAATGCATCAGTTTTCCTGCTCTCCACTGGATTGACTCACAGCTGCTTTGAGACCTTGCTGGTTTTAATTAAAAGCTGAACCATGTGGTTTGTCTGATACGTCACTTCGAGTCACAGCAATCCTCTGTGGGAGCTTGTGAGTTGGAGTCAATAAGTGACACCATTAAACCTCCAAATGCGTATTTTAAAACATGGAATTAGTTTTAATTGATAGTTGTTGATACATGCAGACCAGACGCTACTGGTTCATAGTATTTTTTCACCAAACTAAGGCTAAAAGTAAAGTACAGATGGACAAAAAAAAAGCTTACCCAGTGGATGAGACCACTATAATGGCTCTGGGGTTAACCAAGTCCAAGTCAAACAGGGTCCGCCTTCCGCTGCCGTCCAGGTCAGCACTTTCAATCACATCTGTGTTCGAGTCGACCCAGAACATCAACCTGCGTTTGGTGTCCACAGCCAAGCCTTCCGGACTGAAGAGACCTAAAGGGAGAGCGTTTCCTTCCTTAAACCGGCAGATCCAATACGCCATAGAGGACCAGGAATACCCTCCTACCTGTGCTGATGAGTATCTCAGGCTCAGCTCCGGATGCCACAGAAGCTCTGTTTATCGTCCTCGCTGACAAATCCGTCCAATAGACTTTATTTTCTTTGCAGTCATAGGCTATGCCGACAACTATGGAGCCCTGGGAACAGACACACCAATGAACACAGCTCAGAACTTCATCTCTGCTAAAAGAAGCTCCCCTAGAGAGCTTTTACTTTTTAAACCAGTTAAATAACTCGATTAAAATCTCCCAACATTGAAAAATAAAACAAAAAACAGTAAGTCTGCAGTCTATGCAAAAAGAAAATACACACAACACCTAATCAGAAAACATCCCATCAGAGATAAACTTTGACTAGGCCAAGTCTACAACATTGGCTGCAAGTTAGAAACAAAGTAAAGCCCGATTCTAACAGCTCCCACCATACTTGATATCATCTGACAAAATCTAAAGAATTGACGAGTCAGGGCCCGTCTCTCCTTAAATGTTAAATTTTTAAAGGAACCTTTTCTGGAAGGAAGAGAAACATATTTAACAGTTTATTAGATAGGTGAAAAATATTTAATTATTTTTTTGTTAAGGATAAAAACTATATTTATTTATTTATTTATTTATTTAATGCAAGCATCTCTGGTAACTTTTAAATGTTTACATTTACAAATAGAGATCTTTACAGTTTTTAATTTATGCTCCAGTCGCATTTGATCCCATTTATAGATTTTTACTTGTGTGACGCGTTTAAATTGGACAACATGTTCTGTTTAAAATCTTCGTTGAGCAGTTAAAGCTGTAAGGAAGGATTGTGTATTTATGCACTTTCACCGCAGTATTGTTGCAGCCGTGAAACGCCATTTAGTCTCGTCAGTCAAATTCAAAACATCAAAACTTCTAAACAACACCCATTGGTCCAGTCTTAATTATAACTTCATCTAGCAAAGCAGGAAGATACCCTTAACAGACGCTGATCAGTTTGTTCGCTCCATCAGAGCCCTTAAGCTATGACCGTCTTATCAGGCTTTTGCAGGTGAGGACGATCTTAAAGGAATAGTACACCCAAAACATGATTAGCCTTCATTTTCTACTCACCCCCATGCTGAACAACACTCTGGA